AAAATGTTTTTAAAGCATGGATCCATCAAGAGTGAATTGAAGTACAGTTTTCACCCAAGAAAGATCTTTGGTATGATAACTGGTTATTTAGACAAGGAAACTTTTTAAAATATAACCTGACACATAAGCTTATAGGTTTTGCTGTATGGAAGATTATTAATTACAGTGGGGAATGTGTATATTGTTACTTTACAAGCAGGCACAAGCTTAATGTGGAAAATGCTGCTTGCTGTTAACTGGGTTCACCCAGYGTCTCTTGTTTGGAAGAATGGGCACGTTTAGCTCACGTCTGTCTGCAAAATGTCATGTACCCATGAAGGAGATGAGGGATTAGTCAAAGGCAATAAGGAACTAGTTAGCAGGAAGGCAGCAGCAAACAGCTTTGAAGGAAGAAACGTTAAGGTCCAAGGATTTCACTAGTGGAATTTCTCTCCAATTTCTTACCAATTGGTGCTGAACCAGTTTTCTTTAATGCTGTCATTGAAAACCTTTGGCATGAAGAGCAGCAGTGTACCAACAAAATTGCTTCATGATACAGAGCTGGGAGGTGTTTTTAATAAGGCGTGGAGATATTATTAATACAAAGTAGGTTCAAGCTGTCTTGCAGAAAGATTGGGATGGCCTCGAGTACTGGAAAAACAAAAGCAGAGGAGTGAAATTCAATGGTGCCAAGTGTAAGGTATTATCTTTTCAGGATGAATAAGAGTTTCCACTGTCAACTGGGTAATACCAGTGTGCAGGAGAACAGGGTGGGGGGTGACTGTGGGCAAAAAGAGTGCAAGAATGTGTCAGGTAAGACGTTTCCACTGGCATTAGTGCAGAATACTGAGGAGAGATGTGTTTGAGTTGATCAGGATAATGAAGAGCCTGCTTATTGGGAGGTAAGAGAAAAAGTAGTTTGTTTAGCCTATCTCAGGAAGGAGAAATAAATGCTCATTATTACATTTTTTTTTTCCTTTTATTGAAAAGCCTTATGAAAGCCATCTTTCCCACAAAGGTGAGGTTCCAAAGGGAGCCCGACAGCATAGGATGCTGTGTGTTCTTTCCTCTTTCAATTTATTAGAGTTGAGGGTGTTCTTTTTTGCCCTAGAAGAATTAGGAAAAGATAAAAACTAGTTTTACCTTCTGCTTTCCTTTGCTAAAGTCTTGTCTTTTTCCAGACTTTGTGGTAAGAAAACACATAACATTGTTCCTTTAAATGTTTTGAAGCAAAAGTGACTGCAAAAAGATCAGTAGTGAGATTTTCTTTAGTTGAGATCAGCTGTTTCAAGTTTGATAGGTAGCAATTAGATTCCATATTTAATTGTAAAATTTAAATTTTCACCAAATATTTGTTAAAATGCAATATGGGAGTTTAAAGAAACAAGAATTCTCCTTTGCGGGAAGGTGGATTGGGGGACAGAGAACGAGAAAGGATCTATCCACATTAAACCAAACATGAAAATGTAGGAATTGTGGACAAAACAAAACSTTTGAAAAGATTTTTCACCATATCCAAGTGATCAGGATACCCTTTCAGGGTTAAATAGGAACTTTGCTGAGAGTGGCACCTATCAAAAGGTGACTAATGTCACCTCTAAAGTGACCTTTTTAGGGGAAACTGCCACCAGAGGAACCTGACTGTAATTCTTCTTCTTGTTGCTTCTTCTTTACCCCACCTTCTGAAGCAATTTAATCAAAACAAATCAATTTCTGTGAAAAGTTCTGATTTCCACAGCTTGACATTTTCCAGAGGAGCAATATTTTGTTAAAAAGTTCTCAAGCACTATTGTTATTACTAGAGGTGAGCTCATTCAGGATTTTTGCCATGAACACTATGGATAGATTTCAATATACATTTAGCAGTCTTCCAAATGCTTTATAGTAGAACAGATGCCATTATTTTAGTTAGCAATTTAAATTTGTGATGGGCACTGTTTTGCTTTCCTTCTTTTAGTGAAGGAAGACATCTCTGCCTTGGGAGGATATTTGACTCATTTATTTGTGTTTACCACCCTTCAGGCCTGGGTACAATGGGTTGTTTTGTCACATGGCTGCATGCTGTGCACAAAGACTTTTGTGCTTGGATTTTTGGTGGTCTCATGAAGTTTCCTAGTATCAAATCCTCTAAAAGTTGCTGAGGAGGCTAACAAATGTCTGKTTTTCTTCCCTTCAGTTTGTGTAGCTCTTGGTTTTGTTGGGTTCTTTTAAATCCAAATAATCTGATTCTGCTGTTATTTTTACTGGTACAAACCCAGAAGCAAACCCTGTCAAATCAGTGCAGTTTTTTCTACTGTAAAACGGGCATAAATAATAGTCTTAARACTCTAGTGCCTCTGACTCTCGTCCTGAAAGGCAGTGGAACATTATTTGTGTATTTTTTATGATAGTTCTCCAAAGAGACTAGCCGTTAATCTCCCTGAGTAGGTGTGTCAGCTGCAAACATTTCCTTCCAGTCTACCATTTCAATCACACTTCACAGTACACTGAAAATTGGCAAGGATGTTAATTATTGGCCTCAAGAACAAACCACCTACTTTGATTCAAGCGTGTTTTCCAATTTTTAAGAATGTTGTTTCACCTACAGAACAGTATAATTACAGAAAATAGCTTGGTTTGGCTAACATCTTGTGTTCTGTGAGTCCTGCTCACAAGGCAGCAAGCTACACCAGGCAAGAGGCTCACCTGCAGAGGATTTTAACCTCTTGCTAACAGGAGTTAGGGCTTGCCAGCATCCAGTACATTGTTTTCAGTATCAGAAGCTCAAAACCACTGTCACTCAGACGTTAAACATTAACGCTTTCTGCTTTTAAAGCTGAAGGAACTCCCCCTGCTATAGTAAGAAAGTTTTTATTCACCAGGGAACTTCCTGTTAAAATTTTATGGATGTCTCTTACAGGAGCAATTACAGCAGTGGGTCCTGTACCTGGGCAGTGGAAAACCCTGGGTGCARCATGACCCACCGAGCAGCACGGTTCAGAGAGTGCTTGTGGAGCTGCATTTGTGCAATGCAGTGTTCAATGAAATTTGCCAGGAATCAGCCAAGTATCCAGGACATGATTAATCAGCCAGCAGAATAAATTGCCCATAGGTGACTGGGAGTTGACAGTAAACAGTAAAACACCTGCCTTGAAGACTTACAGCTGTAAGAGACAAACAGGAAACAGAAGCAAGTGGGACCCCTGTTTTAGGAGAGCAGTTTTGAGGCATACAGGCAGAGTTGTTCATGATTATACAGTGAGTTTGGCAGAGCTAGAGGCTGAACTGTGTGCATTTCCCTTCATGGGTTTGTAGCTCATATAACAGGTCTTTAATTTACCAAGAAACTTTTCTGCAGCTCTGTCCTGAAGAGTTGGCAGAATCCACAGTCGGCATTTCTCACACATGTGCCTCTTGGTTAAGGGCTCTACAATTTGTGCAATTAATAACTTACACCATGAATTAAAAACTTTGGAAAACAGCCCAATGCTCAGGCTCATGTGTCAAGGAATTGCTGTGCAAGCCTGATCCTATTTGTTGTTGCAACAATAAATCATCTGCTGTTTTAAAGATAATTTATGTGGTACTTGGGCCCTCAAGGCAGTCCTGCAGCACTATTGAAACTGGACTTTTAAAATTAATGGTAATTAAACTATAGACCCATACTAAATATGCATGAATACTTATTTCTCCCTACCTCCTCTTTAACCGTAAGGCCTGTTGGGGCTGGCTACTTCCTGGCTTACAAGCCACATGCTGCAATTTCCATCATGGTCATGAGTCACTCTCCCTTCAGTGTGAATCAAGGATGGGAGGGGGAACATYTGCTGGCGCTCACAGATGGGAAATGACAGTGATTGCTCAGGGGTTCCCTCACCCCTCTATAAACCAGATCCTGGGTGAGAATGCACCCAGAYCCCAGTGTGTCTCTGCTGTCTCTGCAGTCCCTGCTGGCTCATCCTCTGCCACGGCTCGGGGTCCTGGCTATCCAGCAGCTCTTCTGCTGCTAACATCAGCCAGGGGCTGCCACCACAGGAACTGCCCTTAAGAGCTGGGGAGCCTTGCAGACCAGGAGCTGTGGGTCGGTGATACATGGCCAAGGGCCTTGCTTCATTTTCTGTGTTGGTTAACAATTTTGCACTATGGGAACTCATACATATCATAGAAAATATGTTTGCCAATGGCCATTTGGCTAAACTGAAGAGTTCTAACCTTAGCCGTTCAAAACATTTGCTATATACATGGGAGAAGTCATTCAAAACATATTTGTGCTAGGGAGCAAAAAACCTAGCAATAATTCCAAAGCTAGAAAAAAGAAAGACTATTTCATAAGAATTAAATGGCTGGGATGGAGCTCRTTTTCTTCCTGGTAGCTGGTACAATGCCCTGTTTTAGATTCAGTTTGTGAACAATGTTGATAACACACTGATGTTTTAGATGTTGCTAAGTGGTGCTTGCCCTGAGTCCAGGACCTCCAGTGTCTCATGCTGTCAGTGAGGAGGTACACAGAAAGCTGGCAGGGAGCATGGTCAGGACAACTGACTGAACTGGCCAAAGGGACATTCTTTGTGATAGAACATCACACCCAGGATATAAAATGGGGGGAGTTACCAGGAAAGGGTGTGATCACAGCTCAGGGACAGGCTTGGCATTAGTCAGCAGGTGATGAACGGTTGAATTGTACATCATTTGCCTGTCTTGTTGGGGTTTATCTCCCTCTGTCCCTCACCTTTTTTATTGCAATTACTTACTATTAGTATTATTATTTCTTTGTTTCAATTATTTAACTGTTCTTATCTCAATCAACAAGTTTGATTTTCTTTTCTTTCCCAATTCTCCTCACCATGCCCTCAGTGTGAGGAAGGGGAAATGAGCAAGGAGCTGCATGGTGCTTAGTGCTTAATTCCATGTTACATAGCAGGATAACTCTATATGTGCAATTATAATAAAGCATGGTTGAAATCATTGCACAGATCGATATGTTTTCAAAAACATATGGATATTCTCAATAAATTGGTTATCRGTTGTTTATCATTTCACAGGCAGAATTGATAGCTTTGCGACAAGAAAAAGAAGCTGCTCTTCAACAGTGCAAAAAGCTGGAAGAAGAAATCCAGACACTGCGTGTTTATTACAGGTAAAATGATTGATTCTAATATGAATGAGTGACTCATAGGGGAATTTTTTTGTACTATGACTGAGTGAGGAAATGGCCTTATCAAATAGGTATTTGTTGGAAAAATGTGAATACATCAATGAATCAAAGTGCGCATTTCTGCTTTACTGCTCACCGACCACCTCTTTGAAATAGGAGTCCTCTTCTTAAAACCTGAATTTTCTATTTGTTTCTTCCAAGGGAAGGGAAAAATTGCTGATGGTTGATTTTCACACTAAAAAGCTGTGCCATGGCAATGTGAACACTTAAAAACACWTCGACAAAAGAACCAGTTTGCATAAATGCTTGTTTCTTCCCTGGTTGTTTGCAGATACCTAACTTAATCAACAAATATTTTAAAATGATAAAATCTGTAATTCTAAAAGGCTGTTTTCTTCTTCAACGCCGATATATGTGCCTTTTCATTCCTCATGGTCTGTATCAGTATGTAGAATGAGAGAAATACCCATTCTCATTAATTTAGGTAGTCTGCACTGAACATTTGCATGGATCAGTGGGTTTTAGTCCCTAAGGAAAAGCTCTGTGTGGTCCAGTGAAGGAGTTAGGTTGTTTTATGGAGTGATGTTGGGTTACAGCTCTCATTTCATCCTGACCTCCTGTGTGAGAGGGGATACAGAGCTGCCAGCAGGTTAAAGGCAGGAGAATTGGCATCAACACAGCAGAAAATTGTGAATCTGAAGGCTGAATGTCTGTGATGAGGGATGTGGGCTGCAGAGGTAAATAATAAATATAGTGTGAATACTATACTCATTGGAAATAAAGAGGACTAGTTAGTTATGTCTATAAAGCATTKGCAAAAGCAGAACTGTGTATGTTTTCAGTGTTTTAGCATTCACAAGTGAAAAATACTCAGGTTTCTAGAGGTTTTTTGAGTTTCCCCTTCTCATTAAGTTTATTAAAACCTTGGAGGGAAGTTTCAAAAACAACTTTTGTTCCTAAATCTCACAGGCATTTATTTAAAGCCTGTTAATAGTGAATAGAAACCCCAAGCAATTTGTGATTATTGCATTTAATGAATTTGGTCAGCATTTAGTGTGTGCACAAATTATGGTACAATTTACCAAACTAGAAAGAATTTATTATGGTGCTCTTATTACTCATTTAAAGGGTTTTGTAGAATAATTTAAAAATTAAAACACAATTTTTGTGTTGATATTTCAGAAATTAAGGGTTTTCTTGTGTTGGTCTATGCACTTTGTAGGAGACCTTTCATTGATTTTTGAGTTATAGTTTTGGCATAGCCTATCAAGTTTGCACTAACATAATGTCTAACAAGTAGAGTAGGGCAGCAACTGCCATTTACTTGTGTAAATGCTTTAAATCTCAGAAATATTAACAATAATGACTTGCAGGGATCAGCATCAGTTTGTCCCATATTACTAACTTAYGGCTCTTAATTTGAACAGTCGAAACTTCACTGTAAGCTGGCTGACAGCATTTGCAAGATCTGTCCATAATGTGTGGAAATGCTCACCTCATTATCCCCTGGGGCAAGAACTATTGTATCACTACTGATTTATGCAAGTTGTAACATCTGAAGTAGATTTTATCTGCTACCTACCTCACTGTTCTAGAGGTTAATGTGTCCTGAAGGGTTCCCACAGAGTGTCTGGTTGAGGTTGGCAGGGACCTCTGGAGGTCATCTTGTGCAGCCCCTGCTCTGCAGGGCCACTGACTCCTGGCTGCCCAGGACCACATCCAGAGGGGTTTTGAATATCTTTAAGTATGGAGACTCCACAACCTCTCTGTGTGGAAATACTGTCTCAAGGTCACTGAGACAWGGCTTGGAAAGCCACCTGGAGCTGAACCTGCAAGAGATGTAAAAGGTAACAAGAACTCCTATAAGTGCATAAGCAGCAACATTTGTTGTCTCAGGCCTGTCTTTTGACTTGGTTAGAAATTAATTTCAACATTATGAGGATTCCTATGAACTTCTTAACATTTTGGTTACAGTTTCCTTTAAGTTGCGTGGCATCTGCAGCCCTTGTCATCCACCAGTGTGACAGGTGCTTTGAACACATGCCAAATGAGACAAAAAAGAATATATGACACATATGCATAAAGCTTTGGGGACTGTATCAGGCCAAGGGTGGGACGGCCACAGTAATTAGAATGGCAAGGTGGAGAGTGCATTTCCCAGGCCATCCCAAATCAGTGAAAATTTGCACTTTGCTCTGTATGTGGAAGCTAATTAAAGGATGCATGTTCAGGTGTCTGCTGGGTCTTTTCACTTCCTCTTAGTGCTTGCCGTGCTGTGGTAATCTAGAATGAGCACTGAGAGTGTTTTTGGAGAGTCTGTTTTGGACTGAGGTGGAAGTTTGCTCCTCTGATCRAAGCAGCTATATGATTTTCTGTTCAAGACTCCATTTCCCTGGAGTTATTTCTCTTTTGGATTTCAGAATTTCCCGGTGAGCAAAATACAGGCTTCTGTACATGCACCAATCCTCAGCTGTAAAGCTGCAATGTCACAAGGCAGAATGCTCATTCCCTTCACCTACTGTTCTCTCATATCTTTGCCAGATTCTCACAATTTCTGTTGTCTCTGTGGTTGCCTGTATGACATGGGCTTGGGAATTTTGGCTCATTTTTTGGCTTCTTCTCCTTTTGCTCTTAGGTCTTCCCTGGTCGTAGAAAAAATATTTTCTCCTACTTTTTTCTCTTTTTTCCATTTTTTAACTGAGACTTCTGTGAGTCGTGGTTTAGGAATGGTACTCCCCAACTGGTGCTTCCCCCTGAGACTCTCCAAGCCTCATGTCACTCACTGTTCCCTTCCCCCTGCCCTTGCCTTGGAGGCACAGAAGGTAAAGAACAAGGGTTGAGATATGAACAATCTACTGGAAACAGCAATGAGACAAGAAAAGGAACAGTAACAGTGGCAATATTAATAATGAAAGTGTACCAAAGAGAGAGAGTGTTTCACATGCAGAATTCTCACCCCAACCCAACCACAGCCAYGCTTCCCCTACTGGAAGGAAATCCTTCTCACTTCTCCCCACCATTGGAAAATGACATGAGGTGGTGTGGAATATCCTCTGGGTCAAAGCCATGTCCCCTCCTGGCTACTTCAAAAACTAACCCTGTCCGTGCAAGAACCAGGACACCACATCATCCTTTAACTCAGAAGAAGCAAAGTTAAGAAAACAAAAACAAAAACAAACAAACAACAACCAAGAAAACAAACAAAACTAAAGGCTCACATTAAAGCATACAAGTGATACCTCCATCACTTGTAACTTGTGCCTTAACTCACTACTACATTTTAGGGATTTGGTCACAAAAGTAATGACTGTGCATATATTAACTACTTTGGATGCACACATGTGTAAACATTAAAATTAAAATGTTTCTTTTTATACTGATCTGCTTTTTCTTTTTTCTGCTTCTTTTAATACTGATCTGCTTTTCACTAACATTAGTATAATCCAGGAAAAATCAAATATCATTTTATTATACAATATCAAGGGAGAGATATTTAGGTCCAGAATATCTCTATGTGTGAAGTAGGTATACATAGACCTGCTTAAATAAAGGAAACAAGTAGAAACCTTCAGGGGGGAAAAGAAAATCCCATTTTATTTTCTCCAGTGGAAAGATGCATGGTATCTAGAATACTGCATCCTGTCTTGGGTCCCCAGTAAAAGTAAGACTATAAATTGGAGCAAGTTTGACAGAGGGCAACTGGTACGGTCAGGAAGCCATAGCATTTGCAATGTAAAGAAAGACCAACGGTTCTGCTCCTGTACACCCTGGGAAAGAAAAAAATATTCCTTTCTTTGTTGGCTCCAGGGAGACCTAATGGCAGCCTGGCAGAGTCTGTGTCGAAGTTGTCAAGAAGGGCGGCCTCTTCACAGTGCTCCATGACAACAGGGTGAGAAACAACTGACTTGTATTGAAACAAGAGCGTTTCAGACAGGTTATATGGGGAAACTTTTTCACCACAAGGGCTGTCCATCATTGGAACAGGTTGTTGGAGAGGTTTAGCATCTCCATCCTCAAACATGATAAAGTGTCTGATGTGATAAAGTCATGAGCAACATGTCATGGTCRCATATTGATACCACTTTGAGAAGGAGATTGGTTGGACTAGGGACTGCCAGTTGTCACTTCCAACGTGATTATTCTACAATTCTCTGATCTGGTAGCAGCTGCTACCAGAAGACATTCATTTTTTTCCTCCAGCTATGAAAGGAGTCTGTGTTGTAAATCACACTTTTCAGGTGAAGTAAAAAGTGAATCCWAACTGCAACTGGAGCTTGGTGGAAAGCCTGAATTGCTTTAAAATGGGCTTTTGCAGATTTAATGATGAAACATTGATTTCCCTCTCAATTTTGACTTTCTGGGGAAAAAAAAAGCATATTTCAGAACAATTTCAGTCTTCTTTAAAAGGGACAGAAAAGGGAAATGGAATTTAAAAGGAGGAAGAATCTAGTTCAGATACATAAGGGAGAAGAAGCTGGCTGCAAATAAAGTTTGACAGGTTCTGTGCTTCTGTTTGTTCTTCTTGTGTTATTTCTGTGTTTCAAAAGGAAAATTACATTTTCTGGGTACTAATTCAAAAATATATATCAGAAATGAAAATTTGCATAACAGTTAGGAATAGCATAGAGGTTTTTAGCTTATTATTACAATTGTTTCARCACAGTACTCTTCAAGCTAGAGATTAATGCATATCATAAGATCCTCAGTGACCAAAGAAGGCTGCATCCAAATAATCAGTTTTGAAGTATGTGGGAGTGTTAATCCCACTGCCTCTTTCTCACATACCTCTGTTCTTTGAATATCATCACAAGTTCTTTTATGTGCATTTTTTTCAGTTGTGTGATCTGTCCATTTTTATAATCAGGTTCCTTCTTCCCCTAGATTGATATGCTGGTCATGACACCAAATGATATGGGATATGCCTTCGGTCAGCTGGAGTCAGCTGTTCCAGCTRTGTCTCTACCCAAATTCTTGGGCACCCC